GCGCTGTTAGTGATAGATCACCCTCTCGTGATCATTGCTAGCCCTTTGGGTGGGCAGCCCGAGCCCCAGAAACAGAGGGTTAGGTGTTGAGCGTTGTGTACCACGCCAGTCATCTTTGTTCCATTCCGTCGAGACTTGAGGATGGTCGAGCCAACACAGGTTGCCATGTAAGACGCGGTGCGGATACTAAGAGTCTGGCTGAGACGTAGATCTCTGGCGGTTGCAGATCTAGTGAACTAGAAATGACAAGAAGCCGGGGACCCTTCGTCATTCAGGTCGCGACGCTTGTATTTCGTTGGGCATCAGTGCTCAAGTACAAGAGTTGGCTCCTTTGGTGAGCAATTGCCGAACGCCAACATGGCCCCCAAGAATCGCTGCAGATGCGGATACTTAGACAGCTTTTAATCAAAAGAGGCTTGAGAGGCTTGAGATGAGACCTGTAGATCCTGCAACTCTTTCGTGGGTGCATTTGAGTTTATGGAGCCGAAACATCAGAAAGCTGGAATTCAGAATGGTAATGATCGACGCCAATACGCGACTGGCTTGCAGGCATGTTGTCCGAAAACTGTGCATGCAAATTACGTCTCCAGGGGTCGATATTGGTAGTGTAAAGAGTACGTAGTCGTCAGTTCAGAGAGGCTGAGCGATATTCTATCAGTCTAGTGTCAGGTCGGCGGCACGGATGAGGTACACAGAAATAGAGTAGCACTCTTGCTGTCTATTCGTACAAAGTCAGAATATCCATCGGCTGCAGTGCCTCCGGGGTGCCAGGTGCTAACGACGTGCCAGCTTAGCAACTAGACGAAGCACTGACTTTTGAGCCGCACGTATCAAGCGAGCTAGATCTGTAGTATCTTGGTTGTCAGATCCGATTAATATAAGCAAGCCGGTGCGAGCTCTGCTAAAAGCCTAGCGGGCCCAGCCTTTGATCCGCCATCGCAGCAGTCGGCTACTCTTTGGAATAACAACGAATAAATGCTCGTGGGCTACGGGTACGACTAGAAAATTGCTGGGGTGTATGCAAACTTAGGCGGCAGAACGGCAGGGCTGTAGATTCCATGCTCGAAAAGCGCTCGTCACCATTGGGTGGGAAAGACATGATACGATTCAGCATCCCAATCGACTGGAAGGAGGGGCCGTAGGTGGAGAGACGATTTTGTGGTTGACTGGCCGAGTTGAATGGCTTTAGTATCCCCGTTCGTCGCGGATGCACCGAGACGGGGCCAGGCGATGCGCTAAGAACCGTTCAGGAAGGACCCCTGATTTCTATAGACAACGTTGGTCCCAAAAGCCCAGCGAAGTTGGCGAAGTGGGTGGGTAATTGGCGAAAATCTAGCCGACGATGGGTATCCGTACGAAGTGTATCGTGCATGATTACCCGCACACTCGTTGAACCTTAGGGAGGTACGGGTACCGGTAGATGGTCAATTTGGGCGCTAGGTCGCCGCCTTTTCAAGGTGAATACGAGACGTGAAGATGCAACGAGATAACTGAACGCGACGAGGTGGTGCTGAGCCTTCATTGGCTTGCAATGCGAGTCGATATGGCCGGACCGGAAAGAGCCAAGCAGGCCGATATAATGGCTGCATGCCGGCGAGCTGCGTTGAGGTTTTGACAGTGTTCCGCGAGGTAGGAATAACCGACGGCTACTTATCCTTAGCCGCGACGCAATTCATGGTATGACAGTCGCGGACCAGCCTGATCCAAGGGGAGACGCAATTGACGTTCTCCGGAGAGCTCGGCTTGATGCTTGGTGGATGGTAGCAAAGCATCGCCGATGAAGAGCCCAACGCAGTTCACGGCCACATCTCGAGACGATGAACGGATACTCAATCCGCCAGTAATGTCTTGTCCAGGTCCGAGAAAACTCATTCTGTTAGGGATGATTTGGTGTGGTGCCACGATCAGCACTATCGTGAGTTGGAGGTCTGTAGGGCTTGACGTTGGCATGCCCAATTCTAGCTTTTTCTGTTCTCTATCAGTGTATCGTGGAGAAGAGCAAGGGGCTTGCCTTGTAAGGGTTCGAGTATCCGCAGCCTCCAGGCCTCTGGCAACTCGGGAAGAAGGGCGACAGGAGTGGCAAAGCCTGGGATTGCTCTGACATCTGCAAGAAGTCGAGCTGTTACGCCAGATGGAGACCAGGATGAAAAGGGTTGGGGCATAGTGAATACAGCAGGTCAGCAATAGAAATGTGCAGTACGACCAATTATAAAGCGACATGCCGCTGGTCAATGTGAACTATCACAAGGCGAATTCTTGCAACCAGATTTTCGGGGTGAAAATCTGACAGGCCAAGTTGGACTGCGCGAGATGATGGGGTGGGCAGGGGGTATTGCAGGAGGGAGTATCCGTACAAACTCCAAAAAGACCCTCGGTCAACGACCGCCAGTGAGCAGTCATCCAAGCCTGGGTGGGAGGAGGTGTTGCCGCGTTGGTAGAAGAGACATGGGCATGATATGACGTACGGGGGTGTGGTGGTGGATATGAGCTTTCGATGGTGTCTTGATGGATGGCCGATGGATGGATGGTGGCCTGAAGGGTATCCGTACCGGTACTGCAGAGGACCGTGAGGACGGTGTGCCTGGGACCCGATACCAACATCGGTGACCAACATGGGTTCGCGGCTACTCGGACAGCGCTGCAATTTGATGTCAAGGGTTCGGTCGGATGGATTTTCTGCCCAGTTCCTCCGGGACCCTGACAAGGACAGGAACCAAGAGCGACGAAAACCAAAAAAGGTAAATGATGTGACGGGCGTGCAACAGAGCAAGCCATGACGGCTGATGGACAGGGACAGCGGTTGGAGGAAGTTGGAGAAAGCTGCTGCTAAACGGATGTCAGCCAAAGGGGGTGACGAAAGAGAGTTGAAGGATTGAATACCGGTGGTTGGCCAGGGGCATGCAGGCGGAGAGAGAGAGAGAGAGAGATACACACACCACAGAGAGAAAGAGAAAGATGAGGTGGGAAAAAACCAAAAGAGAGGGAAAAAAACAAGGAAAGTGGATACTCTGAAAAGGTGGATAGGAAGCTCCCATGAACGACGGGGAGTGCACGCTGCGTGACTGCACAACGTTTGGTCACTTTGGTGGGTGCGTATCTGGGAGAAGCTCGGATGGATCTGGATTACCTAAGAGAAGGGGCCCCATCTTATCCGATTTCTAATGGGTCTTCCCATTGGATCTTTGTGGAATTCCCGCCCAAGGCCACAAGGCAGCAGGGAAGGGCGTGGGTTCGATGGACAGGCGGGCGGCTTCCTCCCGTCGATTCGATTCGATGGTCACCTCACCCTTCATTTTCAGTTTCGGGCACTGGGCTCTTTCATTCAGATACCTCACTGTGAGTGAACTGGGTCGTTGTGAGTGGAGTCCATCAAGTGAGCCGGGGCACCTCAGTAAATCAGTAGGTACTGGATGGGATGAAGCAATGGTTTTCATTGCTCATCAGCATACTCCGTACGATGTATCACTCTCGGATTTTCATCGGCGAGCCTGGACTACTCCGAAATAATAAGGTACATGGCAATCTCCCCAAGTCAAGTTGTGTTCGGGAACTCAAGGTTCCAAGGTTTCCACCTCGGGTTCTTTGGGAGGATACTCGCTCGACCTTACAAGGCTTCAAACAGGTGGGCTACAGCACGTGGCCATAGTAGGGAACTCCAGCGCTGTCTACTCCGTACCTTACCTCCCTTCTGCCCAGATCGCGTCCAAGGTACCATTTACGGATACTTCCCTGGTTCCGGCTTGCAGTCCATCATAATTCTCCCCTTCATCCTTCCAACTGTTTCGAGTGCTCTTTTGCGCTCCCCTTGCCGTCTGTGGCCATTGCGAGCAAGTGGGAGGACACGCCCCTTCCTTATCACATGGCCAGAGCGTGTTCCTTCCCTCCAGATACTTATCCAATCCTTTCCTTCCTCTGAAAGAAAGTTCGGGACGGCGACGCATCGGCGCGGTCCATAATTGGGCCGAGAGATGACAGACTGAAGCCTTGGAGCCTTAGCTTCTTAGCGTGGCTGCCTGAGAGGCTGGGAATATGTGAAGCCGAAAAAAACCTATCCCGACGTCAGTCCAGTCGGGTTCGGACCTAGGTCCGGGCCCTCTATCCCATCAACACACTTCCCCATTGCATGCGATTCGCTTGCCAGTCAATTACCCTTTGTTTCATTGCTTGGCAGAGAAGAGTCCATCATCACCTGTCACATCCAGCTCAGCCAGCAGCAGGCCTTGTATCTATACACATGCCCGTGGCGATCATTTGGAATATTAACGTGCTGCATCCTACCAAGCACAAGCGATAGCTCTAGAGAGCTCCGAGAAGCTCTGAGCAGCCGTGGGCAGCTTCGAAGCTTTGGCCGTCTCACTGATCGATCCCCTCTTCGAGTCTCATTTGAAAAAAGGGCGACACCGGATACCTTGGAAAGTGAAAAGAGATCCATCTGGAGACGTATACCTGCCACCATCCTTGCAAATCACCCAACGACAACCCCTGGTCACAGACATCTGACATTCGAAATGTGCCGCCCCGGTACGGATACCTCGCCCATCCATCAGGCTCATGCTGCTGCCAACATCACCAGGACAGGGTGCTCTGAGGGATCACACGGGCTACCTGGTGCTCGAGCTTCCGGCGCCGAATCCTTGACACTTCCCAGCGCCAGTTGTCTCCCCTCCTCGAGTCTTTCCCCACTCCCCGTTTATCGGCTTCCTCACGAATGAACCCTTGACCTGCTCGACTGGATGCCTCCATATCTTGGGGCCGTCACAGTGAACAGAGTCTCTGTCGTCGAGGGTCGTCCAGGGATTGTCAACGACAGTCACTGCCAGCTTCGTGACATCGCTAAGAGGAAGATGGATCAAGCATGGGTGGAAAGAAATGAAGGCACGGAGAGACAAAGCACAGTTTCCATCTCACGCCACTGTCTGGCACCCACCCGGCAATCGAGACGTTGCTTCTGTCACGTTCTTCACCGACGGCATCACAGTATCCGCAACGGGTTGGCCATATCAACGTTTCTGATTCTCGGTCAATCTTGCGCCCTCGATCTCTTCGTTGCCAGTCTTTACGCAAACCGATACAGCCTGGTGCAATCACTATGTATCTTACCAAGAAGATACGGAACGCTATCAATAGACCTTTGATCGAAGCCCAACTTAGACCGCTGATAGCATCCTTCAGCTCATCGCTGCTGTCACTTCGTCGGGTCAACACTGTCAGCGTTGCCGCAACCCAGCGCAATTCCAAGGGCCAAGAGCGACTGGCAAACTTAACGCTGATGCCGACGCTATTGTCGCTGGTGACTGGAAGGTGTTCCGCTGCAGTTCCCCCCCCAGTCATCACCGATCATGATCCCAGCGAGCCCCCCTGCCCAGCCGCAGGACCCCCTCAACAGCCAATCTGCGATCCAGCCGTGACAGCGGGCCAATTATCGTGGGGCGCCTCCCCTACGCTGCAAAAAGTCGTACCATTTTCTCTTCGTCATCAGATATTGGCATGTCCGTACTCGACTGGAAGGGCACTTGTTCGCAGTCGAGACTATGGGTGGGTGCTGAGAGCCTGGAACTCGGAACTCTTTAGAGATTCAGTGCTCCCAATGAGGAGTTGCCCGACTGTGCGTCCTAAACTCTGAATAAGCTGAAGCTGAGTCCAGGCAAGAGTGCCTGGCGAGCCCTTGGCCGATCTTTTGGCTGCCGCACGGCGCTATGAGAACTTCCTGACGCCTCTCGGAGTAATGTCTCCAACGTTTGATGTCAAGCCAGTCTGCATCTATCGCAACCAACTGAGAGTACCAGTTCGCGGCTTACACATAGACACTCTCGCCTCGTACTACGTTGTCCCGTCCCTCGGCAAGGAAGCCTCAGGATGGTGGCTCGAGTCGCCTAGGCTCACTGAGACCGCACGGAACGGAACAAATCCCAAGAGGTGAAGCTCCGAATGCAGGCCATCTGCACATCAGTCAATCAATCGAGCTTCAGTCGCCGCCAATCTAGATGCTAAAACTTCCCCCCTTCCTCTCACCCCGGGCCGTCGACTGGATGGATACCTTGACAATACGATGCGTTACCTGACTCCCCCGGGCCCCCTGTCTGCTCTGACCGGTACATGCACACGCATCTCCCTCTGGCCCCAGGCGGTTCAGTCCAACACACCGCACATCTGGTCCCCCGGGCATCAATTCCATGCCCTCCCCCCACAACCCCAAGAACACTTACCTTACTGCGTAGGGAAGGGATCTGGTCCATCAGGAGCAAAGGGAACATGGACGTTCCGCCGTTGAGGCACTGTACCGAAAGCCTCCTGTGATGATCCCCCCCTGTTGCCGCGCAGGTACCTCTGTACTTTATCATAAATGTATGCGAAATACACGTCCACTCAGAAATCATACCCAGCCCTGAGTGAGTGCCAGTCCGTCGCTGGTCTCATAATACCTCTGTCATTTCCTCCCATAATTCGCACAACCGCGTTTCCTCTCTCCCCCTTCTTCCCTTTTCTTCCTGCTCCTCTTCCTCTCACACATCCATCAAAATCCCCTCTACCTCGACACATCGAAAGACTCGAATCCCCTTCACCGCATCGAGTCGAACCATCCCCAATCCACATTTTTTGTGCCAAACTCTCAAGGCACAAATCGGCAGACACCAGCCGGTGATAAACCCTCCCGCGCTTAGACAGGCGATCTCTCATCACATTTTATCCACCGACTCATCTGGTTCAACTTGCCGGACGACGATAGAGGCACAAGCGCCGCCATATGAGCCACGGCTTCTCATCGACGTACGAACATACATCTGTCTCTTCAGCACTTTGTTGAAGGGCGCCCGCTTCACCAGGCACTAGACCGGCACCACAAAGCATCGGCATCGAAAAGAAATTCAGAACTTCCCACCGGTCCAGGTTCACGGTATCTTCGCGAGCCCACGCCCCCCTCCTTGAGTCTCACTCCCAGACCCAGTTGAAATTAGCACACTCGGACTAGTCTCGACGAGGGATTCTGACAGTGTGTCTTGGAAGAAATATTCCAAAAGCCGCCACAAAGAGCAGCGTGGTAACTTGACCAACGCTAGGCGGCTTTTCTTTCTCAGCTCCGGATCTTTCGACACACCCAACTGGAGCCAGCATCATCCCCGATCCATCGCCCCCCTTCCTTTTCTACCCCCTTTTCATCACACGCCCCCCCAAACCGAAGCCCAAGAGAAAGATACATGCGGTGACCTTCCCGTCCCGCCACCACGCATACCACACGCGCCCGATAGCTTGATCAGATCTTGCCTACCGGGTACCCAGCTGGAGAGAGAGAGAGAGAGGTTCGACTAACCTAACCTAACTTCGTCTTCTCGTCCCAGGCCAAGCCACACCACACCACACCTTACCACCACACACTCTGTCTTTGGTTGGTTTGGTTTCGCTCGCCCATCTTTCACTCTTGCACTCTTCCACTCGTCTCTGTAACCCTTCTTCCCTGCCCGGTTTTTATTCTTACATGACTCTGAGCCTCCCACCTTGGACCGTCTCTCCTATCATCTCCACCCATCTGCACCAAACTTCACCGGACTCCCGTCTTGACACCGACTTCACGAACTAAGGCTCACTCTCGTCCCCTCACGCCTTGGTCGAGTCAGATGCACAGAGACTTATATTCGCATCTGGGGTTTTAATCACCATTCATCTGTTCTCCCGGCAAACCCGCTATGGAAGCGGGCGGATCTGGTACTAGGCAAAGGTAGGTTCGATTCTACTCGACACCCCCCCCCCCCCCTTCTGGCTCTGGCCTTCATTTGGTTCCCACGTCCTGTCCCCAGACCCAAGTATTGATCAGACCTTTTAAACAGCCGTCCACCTTCTGCCATCAACCCTGATCGCTTTGAACCTCGTCATCTCCCACCCAGAGAGCCTCTCGATAATAGACATTACCGCGACGGCCCCGCCATGGCGACCGCAGCCCTTATTAGCCCGAGCTCCCATTACGGTCCTCCCTCGTCCTTCTCTTCCGGCTACCAACACCACCCAGCTCCAGGACCAAGCATCGCAGGCATGATTTCGCCGATTGAACCTCGACGACCATCAGACGAGTCGGAGACTCCTCATCGACAGTCGCTCCCTTCGCTCTCAGAGGTCATCTCTGGTGCGAAGCCCAGTCCTTACCCCCCTTCTCAGGGTTCCAGCATGTCGGGCTCTCAAAGTTTCCCCTCGCCCTTTGCACCTGGACCTCCAAGGTCTTACGCCGAGTCGACGGACAAGAACTCGCCTCGACCTCCTGTTCCTGCTTCGACCTTCGCGCCGAGGCAAGATGCTCTCCCGGCCATCTCAGATCCCCCGAGACCTCCATTCGCAGGTCGACCGCCTGCGCCATTGGGCGGGTTCTCTGGACCTCAACCGAGCCCTCCTCTCAAACATGAGCATATGCGCGAGAGCGACGCGCGTGCCGCCGAGAACGCTGGCCCGTACGCTCAACATTCCATTCCACCTCCGCCGACGATATATCCGCATCCCCAACATCCCCAGCATCCGGGTCAGCTTCCGCCAGGACAAGTCCCGTTGCCTGGGTATCCTGTCTCTCCGCGTCACGCTGGTCCACCTCCCCCTTTCCCCTACGAGGCCCAGCGCCCGATAGCTCACAGAGAAGACCCCGAATATGGCCCTGCGCGGGTCAGGACACACCTCGACGCGTGGGGGTATCAGGATTGTTTTTCTAGAGTGAGTGGCCCCGCTAAAAACTTTTGTCCGTCAAGCTTACCAATAAGTTCACTCAGATTGGTTCAGCAACAAGAACGATCTTTAACTTCGCCGAGGCCTATGGCAAGATTGCCGCGGAACAACAGGGCGCTCATCATCCACTGCACGATCGACTCCCCACCGAGCAAGAATTGAACGAGATGATTGACAATGTGGAGTACATCCGGAACTCCCTGGATTCGGTGCGACAGGTTGTGAAGGAAAGCAATGAACGTGTACGGGCGGCTGGAAAACAGAAGGGCTACGATGATGAAGATACCCCCATGTACGACGGTATGAACAAGACCTATGGCATCACCGAAGTCAAGAAGCGTAGGGGGGTAAGTTTTGTCAATCATGCGGTTGTTCTGTCGGAGAAACAGAGTGCTGACCTACTGGAACAGAGAGCTGCACCTCCTGGAAGATGCCATAGCTGCAACCGAATCGATACCCCGGAATGGCGCCGAGGCCCTGATGGTGCACGCACACTTTGCAACGCATGTGGACTGCATTATGCAAAATTGGAGCGGAAGCGCCAACTCGAGGCTCGACAAATCCGACCTAAGCCCTCTGATGAGAGAAGCTGAAAGCGGCTTGTTTTATCAAGGGAACCCGAGATACAAAGTACATATACGGACGAGCTCTACCTTCATCGGCCGGTCTACAACCAGTCTGACCCGACGATCGGCCTGGTCCGCGCCATTACACAAACACACATATACACACATAACAGATACCCCCCTACTGCCTAACGGCTTATTATCCATCCAGCAGCGCCTGCACTGCTTTATCTTCATGCAATTAGCAACAAACTGGCTACACCTACTTTACCTCAACTTTTCTTTTTCAATACCCGGCATCGACTTCATCTTTGAATGTATATATCCTGCTCTTCAACATGTTCATCGGACGGGCACCAAGGGACTAGGCATTCATCCGGCGGCGTTTACTGCATTTTGATCTCGACACTTTCCTTGGCTGGTTTTGTTTACATCCTGCAAAGGGAAGCGGAATATCGGCTTTTTAGACAAAATATGGGGCGTCACACAAATAGGACGCCACAAGACACGCCTTTGGAGCGAGCAACCGCAGACCGACAGTCGATCGTTACCAAAGCAAACGTCTTATCATTTCCTTCAAATACTTCTTCCTTGTCTGCGAATGGCAGAAGAGATGGTGTTTTCCGGCGAGGAACAAGAGAAAAAGCACACGTCAGGAAGACGTGAAGCATTCCGATCAGTCTTCTTGGAGGAGGGAAAGAGAAGTAGACGACAATATCGGAGTCGTATTTCTTGCGAGGAACAAAAACGGACAACTTTTCCTTTTACTCTACTTCAACTTGGGCGCAAGATCGTGCAAACTTGGCATTTTACCACTGTTACTACACATTCTTGGGAAATTGGGATGGGGGCTTGGAATCCTCCTATGATGCCACGGGGGCACCAACAACAACACAGTTTTAGCTGATTTTTAATTGTACGAGTAGCCATACAAGGCGAAATACCACCAGGAGGCGGCGGCGGCCAGGAGTGGCGGAAAAGGAAGTGAGGAGGGGCGGCTAGCTCAGTTGTACCTACCCTTTCAATACAGGATTCAAGAAATCTGATGAACCCAGACTTGAAGTTTCAAAGATTGAAGTTTCAAGAATTATTTGAGCCACATTTTTTTCTTCGCTCACAACGTGAAAGTCTATAACATGAATGATATGACATGTGCCAGGAGGCGTCGAGACAGAAGTGGGAGGGGAGATCTGAATCATTCATCGTGTGCCATCTCAGTCGTGTAAGAGGTAAAGTAATAACTACCTCAATCGTGACAAATGCCGCCCCTGTCCACTGAGAGGAGGAAGTACACCCCATCATCCACTGAATGACATAACAAAGCCATGAGAATGGATACTCGGTGAGCTGAGCAGATGAATGGGTACGCAGTAGTCGAAGAGAAGGGGCGCCTGGTGAGGACAGGGGACCTGGACGTGGATGGGGAAAAGGGGGGGGGGGGGGGAGGGGAGGGTGTTAGCGGGATGCAAGTTTGCTTCTTTCGCCCTTTTCTCGATCTCGGAAGCGTGATAAGCGGGAGCGGGAATCTCGGGGAGAAAAAAAAATCATACAAAAAGTGTTGAACCTGGTTCTGGGCGATGGAATGTTTTGATGTGAGAAGTGACCAGAAGCAGTCAACGTCAGGGCCTCCCGTCCCACGTGGTGTCACTGGTGTGTGCAAGTGTGCGCGTGGCCGCCGGGTGCCGTAACTACATTACGGGCTTAATTCACCTTACCTACCTACGGCCAGCGCACTCAGCTTACCTTCTGACCCCAGGACAACGCCACAAACAGACGTCGTTTCCGGTCCTGGCGGCAGTTCAGGCAGGGTCTGGACGGCGGATGGTGGTGGCTGGCTGGCTTAGGGGGGAAATTCTTCATGAGAAGCCGAGATCTTTTGTATTGTTCATTCTTCGGTACTTGATCTGCCTCCCCCTTTGTTGATCTCCAGACCGCCTCTCACTTTGACTGCCGAGAGGTTCTCGGTTTCTTCCAGACGCGAACAGGGGGACCTTTACCTATTCACCGCCGTCTAGGTGTCCTCAGATGAGGAGGCATCAGATCGAAAAAAAAGTACAAGGTGGGTTTTCCGGTATCCTTGGAGGCACGGGGATATGTCATGTGGAAATACGGCGAAAGAGGTACAACGGCAAAGAATAAGTCGGGATGGGAAGGGATGTTTGATGGCCGGCTCACCCGGGGCACCAGATCGATCCAACTCTTTTTTTTTTTCCTGTCTCGCAAACTTGGCATTCTTTTATTGACCTAGGTACTGCCATATTTCCGTGAGATGTAAGGAATGTCCCTGTAAATATGGTGTAGTGGGTTTGTGTATGCCGATTTAGAAATGCGCTTATTCTTGTTCGCAGCGGGAAAGAGGGAAGGACCTTGGGAGAGTTCAGATTTCCCCCGGAAAGGCCCAGAGATTCGAGTGCCGTGGTAGAGGGTACGGATACCATGTACGTACTCCCGTGCGTATTGTCTGTGTAGTATGGAGTGAGATTCATAAGAGAACGTGTCGATCGATAGAGAGGAAGAATTACAAGGCCCCTCCCTGTTTGCGAGAGCTTTTCCAAGGAACGGGGTGTGTGGGTAAGTGGGTGGATGGTGTGTGGTTTGGATACGGGTCGTTGCCGCGCGGTTCTCGGGAGCCGATGATATTCCTCTCCAGATTTCGTTGCCTCATGTGTACACACTGTAGATATCCAAAGCCCTTGGATCAACTTATTACTATAAGATGACGCATGAGATGAAGAGGATAAAAAGAGAGGTCAAGGTGCAGGGCAATCTCGCAAACGTGCGCCAGAAGGGGGTGGAATCGGGGAAGCAGAGGGGGGGGGGGGGGACGGATCTGAATCTCAACAGGGTAAATTGGAAGAAAAGAAAGAAAGAAAGAAAGGGAAAAAGGTTGTCACTTGTCATGGTTTCTGATCTGATCTGATGTATGTACGACCCAAGTACTTGGCAAACCCACGCTGCGTCAGAGTTGGATTCGCCATGATGTGATGTCTTCTTGCCCTCTTCAAAGGATTTCTGATCTGCCCCTCATCCCTTCATCAGCTTTATGCCTTGGGGGCTCTCCCCCGATGTTGCACAAGATACGCAAATACACTTGTATAGGTAGAAGGTATCGGTAAGTGAGTGGGTAGGTACCTGCTCATACCGCTCGTCTAGTTGTCAGCATTTCCGTCCGTCTGAGAAAAGAACCAACTTCGAGACATACACGCCCCTCCTCATCGGAGGGACGGGCCACTCAGGCTGTAAGCACTGGGCAGGTACGGATACTATGCAAGGAGGGAGCTTGATCAGAGAGAATCATATCATGTAGATTCTCATTTTGAGGCACATATTGACAGTCTTCTGATTGGATAGATTCGCAAGGCGGAAAGGCCACAAGCCGACGAGGCGCCTGGCAAGGCGACCGCATATTTGATTTTCTTTCGGGAGTGAAAGGCAGGGAAAGAATACAAACCAACGCATCTCAAGATTTCTCTGGTGACACAAACGGGAAATTGGGGAAGAGGGGGAAAGAGAGAGAGGGGGGATGACGGTGTGAAGCAGGGCCTGTCCATCTATCTGTACATGCACTATCGCGATGTATAACGTATAACGACGTCGTATCTATCTATATGGATGGCAGATATACCGTGCAGTCGCGCCGTCCGCCGATTCCGCCGCGTGCAACGTGGGCAAGGTTAGGCAGGCTGGCAGGGTACGATACAACCGTATTCATGGGGTTGACAAGAAGAGAGGCACATACAGTTACACAGTAGATAGAGGGAGGGACAGAAAGAGAGAAGGAAGAGCAACGTGTGGCTTGTACTTGGGTAGCGTGAAAGAGGGGGGGCCCTAGATCGCAGAGACGGGTAGTCTGCTTGTTCATATCGATGTTCGTGGGACGTTGTACGCGAATGGGTGACTAAAGGAAGGGTAAACTTGCCTTCTCGCTGCTTGTTCTCCATGCCACAGCCATCCTCTTGTGCCATGTCAGATCCCCTTCTCCCCTCTCATCCAGTCCCGTACAAGAAACAGATTCCGTTGTTTTCCCCGCACCGTTTCCTCCCCCTTGCCGATTCGACGGAAGGAAAAATAAGGGTACACAAAAAAAAGTCTGGGGCGTGCGTGTGAGTGTCACTAAAAGTCACGACTTCAGCATTACACAAGAAACAAGAACTCAACACCACTGCCATTACCACCAGGCAGAAAAGAGCCAGAATGGTCAGGTTGCTGTGATTGAGGCAATTTACAATGCATCGGCCGTAGCTAACCTTCACGGAGCGAGCTTGACCTGGCACTGAGCTTGCGTGGTCGGTGCTGTACGCGCCGCCGTGTGTCGTTGTACAAACCAGCATTACCGACAGCATTTTGATCCCCAGGACATGAGTGCGAGCAATGCGAGCAATGCCAATGCAATTGCGGGTTGGGGTTGGAGGGGTGTAGGAGGTGTGCATCTTACCTCATCGCCCTAAGGTGAAGCATGGATGAGAGGGGGGGGTGTGGCAGCGACAAATTGACAGACAGGCGCCCCCCGTAAATCGCCCATTCACTCGACTTTTGGAGGATTGGTTGTTTCTCCAGACCTCCAACCACTGGTGAGGTACACCGCACGCCTTCTTTGCCTCTCTGCGGCTACAGAGAAGTCTTCTTTTTCTCAGGTTTTCCTCTTCCTATTCCCCCCCGAGGGCCAGACGGCGTGCGGCGGTGGCTTGTTCAATTCGCGATGCGCGCCGGTGCTGACCTTGTGGCATGTGAGCTGTCGCAACTGGTGATGTGTTCAATGCGCCCATCTTCTTGATTCCCCCCCTAATTAATTACCTTTCCCTTCCGTGCGTCTTCCCGTAAATCGCTGCGATTTGCCTCCATCTCTCTCCCAAAGCCGCCGTTCGCCATCCCCTCTTCTTTCTTTCCTTCGTCCTTGTCCCGTTGATGGAGGGGTGAGTCGTTTCTTTCCATGGCTTCTAGCGCACGGGAATGGTTGATCGATGGCTCGCCCCCTTCACCCTGGGGCTCTGCAGGGAAAAGAAGCTGACCGACCACGCTCCCCCTGT